GGGGGGGGGGGGGGGGGGCGGTGCCTGTCCAGCTCTGCCACTGATTTGTTTCATGGCCTTGAAGCTGTCACCTAATGTCTCTGTGGCAGTGTTCCCAGCAGTGTGACTTGCCTCTCCAAGGTAGGGAGAGAAGAGGAGTGGGAACTGGGAGCCAGCTGCTCTGTCAGTCAGTGTTTGCTTATTGAAAGTGCTGCTTGGCTGAACTCTGAGAGCTGTGCTCCCCACACCCCTTGTTTGCACTGCCTGAGGCCGCCACCTTTTCTCCACTTCCGCAGTTCAGTGCTCCCCAGGCCACTACTACAACACGAGCGTCCATCGCTGCATCCGCTGCGCCGTGGGCACCTACCAGCCAGACTTCCGCCAGAACTATTGTATTGCCTGTCCGGGCAACACCACCACCGACTTCGATGGCTCCACCTCCGTGTCGCAGTGTAAAAGTATGCTCTGCGGGTGGCTGCAGCATGGCTTCCTGGCCCCTCTGCGTGCAGCTTGGTCTCTGTGGCCTCTCACTGATGTCTCTGTCCATCAGCATCACTCACTGTCAGAACTGATTTTGATCTAGAATGCCCCTTGGTGCTTCTGGTTGGTCACTCAGGCACAGGCACACAGACAGTGGTGCACACACATCCAACCATATCTACACCTGTCTATGCACATGCGTGCACACGTGTATTCTTGTGCATGGTTACAGCACGCAGGCACCTGTTCAGCGCAGTGCTGTGCGAGACTGTGCATTCACTGCACACAGGTGACTGCACATCCCTACGTACACACACGCAAGTGGAATTTCCACAATTCCCTGAGGCAGGCACAGTTCCCTGCCTACTGCCCTCCTGTCTCTGCTGCTTGTTCTCCTTTGGAGCTGATCCCTAGTGACCGCTGCTCCTTGTTGCCTTGCAGACCGCCAGTGCGGGGGAGAGCTGGGCGAGTACACTGGCTACATCGAGTCTCCGAACTACCCTGGGAACTACCCTGCCAACATTGAGTGCACCTGGAACATCAACCCACCTCCAAAGCGCAAGATCCTCATCGTCGTCCCCGAGATCTTCCTCCCATCTGAGGACGAGTGTGGGGACGTTTTGGTCATGCGGAAAAACTGTAGGTAACCGATGGCTGTGTTGGGGCCATGCTGGGCAAGGTGGGGGTTAAGGCGATGGGAGCCACTGCCCCAGGCTGGCTGGGCTGTGGAGACCTCTGGGAGCCGTGGAGCCCATTTGGGAGTGATACCGGTGACGGAGCAGGCTTGGGTGAGGCACGCTGTGTCTCTGAAAAGCCAGCTTCCCCCCTGCCTGGGTGGAACGAAGTCAGTGGACTCAGAGTGAGGAAGGAGCCTGCCTCCCTGGGCTATGCCAAGTATCCTGACACAGAAATGAGGGTTTGGAGTCAGTGGATGGACCCACATTATTCGCTGGCGTTGGGCTGGCTTTGCTGCTCATCTCCCTCCCTTCCCCACACTGCCACAAGGAGGTGAGCCGGGTGCAGGCCCAGTAGAGGCCTGGGCCAGCCAAGGGGGAGGTAGGATCAACCTGATCAGCACTGGGTCCACTGCAAACCCTGAGGTGGCTGGGCTGCCCCTCTGTACTGGGGCATCGCCAGGCTGCCCTGATAAGGATGGAGTGAGCCAAGAGCAGTCTGGGGGGGATGGGGAGGGGGTTGGAGCCCTGCTGTAGCTCTTGGGCTGATGAAATATCCTTCTACCAGCAAGCTGGGCCCCAAGCCAGCGGGGGTCCCGTGGACCCTGGTGCACTGCATCCAGGTGCCAATGCTGTCGGACTCACGGCTTGGGGGAGGGCCCCAGTCCACATTCTCAAGAGGGGCTGCTAGAGCCAGAGGCACTCAGCACCTCCAAACACCAGGTGCCATCCCCCAGGCACCCAGTCTGTGGCTGCTCCTGAAACCACTGGCTTTGGACCATGCCTGAACTGGAAGGGTAAGGTTCCCTGGTAGGAGGAACAGCACATGAGCTCCACAGATGAGCTCTGTTCCTGGGCCCAAAGCCCTGTGCTCCTGTAGGATGGCCCTTGAAGACAGCAGAGGGTCAGGTGCCCCAGGGCAGACTCCCCCTGCCTTCAACATTTGAGCCAACCAAAGGCCATTCCTGGGTGTTTCTGTGGCTGAACGATTTCAGGCAACACATGCTCCTGTGCTGTTCCCCTTTTCAGCCTCCCCGTCCTCCATCACGACCTATGAGACATGCCAGACATACGAGAGGCCCATTGCCTTCACTGCCAGGTCCCGCAAACTGTGGATCAACTTCAAAACCAGCGAGGCCAACAGTGCCAAGGGCTTCCAGATCCCCTATGTCACCTACGACGGTACGAGGGGGACCCCGAAGAAGGGGTGCATGAGTGTATGTGTGTGCACATGCAAGGGCACAGCAGGGCAGGGGTGGGAGCATTGCACTGGACTGGCCCACGTGCATTCACGAGGGTTACGTTCCTCTTGGTATATAGCCCTGGCCCCACACCAGCCACCTGCTCAGCTCAGCAGCTGGTCCACAGCTTCTTCAGGCCTTGGGGCTCAGTGCCTGTCCCTGTGGCCAACTGTCCTGTCTCCAGAGCTTCCTGCCCTCACAGATGTACTCCATCCTGCCCCTCACCTTGACCCAGTGGGCTCTTGTGAGACTCCGCTCTAGAGCAATCCAGTTTGGTGCTTGAAACACCCAAGTCCAGACAGTCGCTGAACACCTGCATTGTGCATTGAGGAACCCTGCATTGGGGGGAGTGGGGGGGTTTCCAGCCGAGGGCTCCTGCCCCATGTTCTCTTGCTGACTTCCTGCCTCGGTTGGTCTTGCAGAGGACTACGAGCAGCTGGTGGAGGATATCGTACGAGACGGCAGGCTCTACGCCTCTGAAAACCATCAGGAAATCTTAAAGGTGAGACTGTTCCTATGTGTCCAGGGCAGCCCCAGGCTGTGGGCAGAACCTGTTCTAACAAGGGAGAGACAAGGGTCTTGTGGCTGCAGCCTGAGACCAAGAATCTGGACTGCGGGTTCTGCCTCTGTCTCTGGGTGGTGCTGAACACATCACTTTGCCTTTTCCCCTTTGAGTGACATGTCTGCACAGTGGACATAGGTGCGTCCTGGGATTTACAGGTAGGGAGACCAGGAGTACTGATCACTGATTGACTGCTGGCTGATGTCAAGGCCCTTCAGCTGGTCATATGCCCCGTCCCCGAGGCTGATTGGTCTGATCTCCCTATGTGCATCCCAAATCCTCTCTTCTTGCTTGTGTTTTTACTTTGGAACTGCTGGCTCCTACTGTGCTGAGGCAACCTTGGCTAGTGGTGAGAGCACGGGCCTAAGACATCTGTGCTTCGCTGTCCACCTGCCTCTGGGGCACTTGGTGACTTTGGACAAGTCCCTAAAATGTGCCTTTGTTTCCCCATCTGTAAACTAAAGGGTTTGGGATCCACAGCTGCAATAGCAGCTCCCCCCAACAGTGGGATCCCCTTTGGGGCCACATGCAGTGGGCATTAGTGGGGGGCACCAGCGCCCAGCTGGGACCATGCAGCTCCTTGGTTTGTCTCCCTTGCAGGACAAGAAGCTGATCAAGGCCTTCTTCGATGTGCTGGCTCACCCACAGAACTACTTCAAGTACACGGAGAAGCACAAGGAGATGTTGCCCCGCTCGTTCATCAAACTCCTCCGCTCCAAAGTCACCAGCTTCCTCAGGCCTTACAAATAGCCCCACGATGTGCCCCAGCCATGCCGGCCGCCCTGCAGCCAAGGAAACCTTCTTTTTACTTTTCTTTGAATTGTTTTCCCCCTAAACAGCTTTATAAACAAACAGAATCCCCATCCTTCGCTATGCAGATGTCTGTAACAGTGACTCCTCCTTGGCTTGCTTTGAACCCATCTTTGGGGCAGCCCCACGCCCTATTCCTTCAATGCCGGGGGAGACATCTCCCATCCCAGGGGCGATGCTTCTTCTTGTTCCAAGCAATCTCTGCATTCAGAGGCAGCTGCGACCTGCTCCATTTGATGAAACTCAAGTGCAGCTCTTCAGGCTGCTCTCCTGGTGGCCCTTTGGTTGCCCTTGATGTTTTATACACATCTGCACACAAGTCGCTCTCCATTCCTAGATGCCATCAACACATCTGCAGCTGCCTTCCCTCATGGGACCCACATGGTATTTTTACTCCCATGGCAAGGCTTTCACGGCTGCAGCCAGACCTGAGCTGCTTCTCCAAGAACTGAGGGCAAAGGACATCCCTAACTGCAGAAGGTAACACCTTTATTTATCATAGTGTTGTGGCTCTAGAAAAACAAAGGAACACGTCTTCGCAGAGGGGATCGGGGAAACACCCATATGCTTAAAAAATATTTAAAAACAATAAAGGAATAAAGGACAGGACTGGGACGCACAACAGCAAGTAGCGACTGGCTGGTGGTTGCAATGGCAGTTCTGAGGGGTGGGAGATGTATCTCTAGGGAGCCATGCTGGCTCTCTGTGTCTGAGGAAAGCATGGCCAAGCCACGTCTTTGCAGAACAATGTCTGGATGAACGGGAGAAAAAAAATGTAACGAGAGAACTTTTGGACAGATTCTTTTCCCTCCTACCTCCCCACCCCAGCTTAACACTTGTGCCAAGAGACCAGACTTTCTTACAAGCTCTGCCAAAGAGGAACTCGTCGACAGAAGAGCAAGTGATGTGAAGAGCAGGACTAAATGTTTGTGCACTAGGATTTCCTCCTTTCTACCTTTTTCATATGTATTAAGTGCAATCATTTGAGTCTTCTTTATATTATTTAGAGGGAAGTTTTTTCTACTAGAAACTCCAATATTTATACCTGCCTGAGAAATGAGAATGTGTGTTTGTAGCAAAAGAGCAAAACCAAGCCAAGTCTCCGATTCATGGTAAACCATCACGGTGACGTTTTCAGACCTTGGAATCTTTTCTTCGGGTCCCCAGGAAGTTCTTGTTTAAACCAAAAAGGCAAAGCCTTTTGTGGGAAATCAATGGCTTTTGGGGGGAAATCAACTGGATCTTCCCCAGGTAACTGGAAAACAGCATCTTGTTCCAGCTGCCCATGTGGTCAGCGGTAGGTCTTCCCTAGCTAACGCATCAGTTTGCAGCATGGAGACGAGATCTCGGTATTCCTGCACCCTATATTTGGCACTGGCGATCCCTCGCCTGGAGTACTGTGCCCAGCTTTGGGTACCGCACTTCAAGGAGGATGTGGACAAAAAGGAAAGAGTCCAGCAGAGGGCAACAGTAATGGTTGGAGGTCTGGGAAATGTGACTTATGAGGAAAAGCTGAAAGAACTGGGATTATTTAGTCTGAAGAGAAGCCTGACATGGGGATTTGGTAACCATCTTCAAACACCTGAAGGGTGGTTATAAAGAGGACAGAGATAGACTATTCTCTGTGGCCACAGGGAGTAGGGCAACAGGCAAAAGTCTTAAATGGCAGCGAGGAAAATTTTGGCTGGATGTGAGGAAGAACTGTCTCACTCTGAGGGTGGGTAAGGATTGGAACAGACTGCCTAGAGAGGCTATGGACTCTCCATCCTTGGAAGTCTTTAAGAGCAGGTTAGACATAAAATTATCTAGGATATTTGAGACATGGGTGAGCAGAGGCCTGGACCAGATGACCTTCTTCTAGCCCACATTTTTTATGATTCTGCGATTCCCCAGAGCCCCACAAACATCCGCTACTTGGTTTAGAAGATCGTCATCATTAGGTATAGTCATATTGAGGTTTATTTCTTCTGCAGATTTCCATGCATTGATTCCTCTCTCATTTACTGCACTGCAAATCATCTAAAGCAACCGCAGAAGCTGATAAAGGTATGGCAGCATCAGAAATCTGAAAGGAAGAATACGGTTCTAAGCATAGATAGATCACAGGACTAGAAAAGCTCAGATCCCATCCAGAAGAAGACAGAACTGATGTAGACAATCTCAAGGCAAAAATCCTACTGAATCTAACAGGAGCTTTTTGTGAATGAAGAATGGCAGAGTCAGAAAGAGAGGATCTTCAGGACCCCCCCTGAACATCCATTCAAAGTTTGATCAATGTAGGTATAATGAACAGCGACAGAGCAAAGCCTTCTCAGACCTTCAGCAAATCCAGTCTTGGAAAGTCAGACTCTCCAAGCAGAAACAGCTGGAGGAAGATGCGCAGCACAGGTTCTGTTGACCGTCACTGAGTCCTGGGCTCCTGACTCTCTTATGTGCTTTTAAAAAGGTCCACTCAACAGCAAAGGCTTCTCAAACTGATCCAAAGTAGAGCTCATGCTGCGGCCTCCACCTGCCCTCATGTAGGCTCCTGAGGCTGACTTCCGACTGACATTCCAGTTCCCCGTCTCTGACTGCTTGTCTGATTTTCCCTAGCTAGTGTCCAGGGAATGTGTAGATCCTCAGAGGCACCACTGCAAGCAGAGTATCAATATACATTATTATCTATTGATGCCTGCGCTCTCCTGGCTCCTCGGGTTTGCCAGGGAGCTGAGCAGTCTCTTGAGAGAGCAGCCAACGTGCCGTTTCCCTTGCCTGTTGAGTGTCCATCTACACAGCCTAGTTCAACAGCTGCCTTCCAGCACTCATTGTCCAGGGTTTCACCCCGCGGCTGGGATTGGCACTGCCTGAATGAGGCCCAGTTCTGTGCCCTTGTGGCATTTAAGAGGCTGGCGCTTGCTCCTGGGTACCCTGTCATGCCAGATCTGCTCAGAGGAGCGGCAGCTGCAGGCTGAGAGGCTTGGCACCTTAGTGGTGTCTGCAGCCGACTCTCCCTTCACAAAGGCATCCCCTGCGAGACTCGGAGCTCCTTACTGCTCTCGGGTATCTGCAGAGTGTAGGTGCTGATAGGGGCACACCTACTTCCAGGTGTGGCTTAAAACAAGTCACAAAAAGCTGCTTGCCAGTGCCAACTTTGCAAGGACCCTTATTCCTTGTAAAAGTAACGTTTGCAGCACTTTGAATCCAAACACAGCAGCCTGCAGGCCAGCCATTGTGAGACCACCCAGTCTAGCTTCCCCGGCCAGGCTAAGTAATATCAACAAGGACAAATTGTCCAGGCTTATGGGGCTGGGTGTTTCCAAAGCCTCCAGTTGTTCGGGTGCCTGACCTGAGGCTTCAGACAGCACCAACCACTTGCCGTCTGATAGTCAGGTCTCTGTCTCCTCCTGGATGTCCCAAATCAGGGGGAACTTGGGAAATCTGGGTGTAATTCAAGAGTCTTTTCTTGCAACCCCTGCTCTCAGGGTTAATCCCTTCAGGAGTTGTTCTTTTGAAGGCTACAGGCCACATGACTGGGCTCCAGCTTCTATTCTGGCACCTCCCTCTAAGTTGGCACCCAGGGGTGGTATCCTCTTCATTGCCCCCCATGTTAGGCTACTGTCTAGGTGTGATCCTGTACCACCCTGCTCAAGTCCCTGAAAAAAATATGAACACTAACAAACACCAGCCAAGCCTTAGACTAAGGAATGGGAAGGCACCAAACAGCAAGTGTTTCCATTGAAAGTTTTTCAGGGGCTTGAGTAGGATGGAAAAGGATCACTTAACATCTCCATCTCCTGAGACATAGAAGAGGTGGGGA